GGATCCAGAATCTCTTTTTCCATTAGAACTCGGTGCACTCAAGCTCTTCAAGCCCGTCTTTGCTCTGCATCTCACTTGCTTATCTCTGAATCTCTTCAGCTCTTTACCACTCTAGAGAAGTCCATGCTCTCTCTTGAGCAGTATTTCCTCTCTTTCTCGCCCCTCATATTTAAGTCAGTTTTGTTCAATAAAAACTATTTTGCAGACTGGAGCGATAGTACAGTGGGTAGGGCATTTGCCTTGCATACGGCCGACTCAGGTTCGATCCCCGGCTTCCTATACGGTCCCCCGAGCACTGCCAGGAGTAATTCCTGAGTGCAGAGCCAGGAGTAACCCCTGAGCATCGCTGGGTGTGACCCAAAAAGAAAAAGAAAAAAAAAACTATTTTGCTTCCAAAAAACAAGTGAGAAACAGAAGAAACAAAACAAACAAATAGTGCACTCAGGAGGACTACCTGAATCTAGAAAGACTCTGGTCAGCCATGTTCCCATTCCTAAGCCCCAGTAACCTGCCAACCAATTTACATTCACAGTTTAAAACCCTCAAGTGGTCCCTATTCCCCCGCTCCCCATTCTCTCTTGGCAAAATGCCCTGTGTGGGAGGATGTGTCCACACAGACTTCAGCAATATTTTGAAAGAAGTGGCCCTCATCTTGTAGAGCTTTTGTAATAAATGAAGTGTTGTTTTGAAGGAATGGAACACCCTGCTTCCCACTATCCCCCAGCAAACCTGCACCCCACCACTGAGACTCCGCACCAGCCAGGCCATGAAGAGGAAACATGCGAGTAGTATCGGCTCCAGGTGAGGGCAAGCCTCACCTGTGCGCACTGCTGGGCTGCCACTGATCATAAGGGTGTGACTACAACCCCACACAGACACCCTCAAGTTCAGGGCTGTTGGTCCCTAAAAAACTGAAAAGAACAGGAAAAGAAAACATCGCACAAACCTGCTCCCCTCGTTTCACTATAAACAACCTCATTTCACTGTACCTGCAAGCAGCATGAGCTGTGAGGGGAGATCATGTTAACATCACCATAGGTAAAGGTAAAGGTAAAGGCCCTCCCGTTGATCGTCGATTTGCTCGAGCGGGCCCAGTAACGTCTCCATTGGAGACTTTGTTGTTACTGTGTCTGGCATATCAAATACTCTCGGTAGCTTGCCGGGCTCTCCGAAACATGACCCGCCGGGCAGCTTCCGGGAAACCAAAGTCTTTGGGTTCCGGGGGGAGTATGGTTGCAAAGCTGAAACTTAAACATCACCATGATTAAAGAAAAGCCAGGGGCGGGGGGTGGGGGGTGATACTAGTAAGCCTACCTCAACCTTATGGCGAGGGGCCAGAAAGATAGCACAGTGGGTAAGATGCTTCCTGCACACACCCAACCCTGGTTTGATCCCTAGCACCACATACCATCCCTCAAACCCGAAAAGGACTGATCCCTCAGCACAGAGCCAGGAGTAAGCCCTGACCACCACCAGATGTGGCCCCAAAACTGAGAACTAAATAAATCTTGCTGCAGGCAGCATTAAAAGAAAAAGACATAGTCACAGATAGTGAAACACTGGGATAAAGACACAGTCACAGTGAAACAGTGGGATAAAGACAGTCACAAACAGTGAAACACACAGATAACTGCCACACAGTCAGGGGATACCTGTGCAATCATACAATAAAACAGAGAGGTACAATAACAATCTAAGCAATTGGGGCTAAAATCTCTAAGCTGCTGCCCTCTCCTTTTCTCTCTTGCAGGCACCCTGGAGCTGTGATAAATGCAAGCCTCCCAGAGTGCTACTTGGCAGATCAGTAGGGCCAGAGTTTAGTACAGTGGGTAGGGTGCTTGCCTCGCACGTGGCCAAGCCGGCATCCTACATGGTCCCCTGAACCCTATCACGAATGATCCCTAAACTCAGAGCCAGGAGTAAGCCCTGAGCACAGCCAGGTTTGCCCCAAAAACAAAAAACAAATAAACAAACAACAAAGAATTCTACTTCGGTAAGTTGACTTAGTTTTCCCTTTTTGTTCAAAAAATATTTATTGAGCATCTGCTATAGCTGTGCATTGGGGAGGCTGCGGCATAGAAAGCAAACAGAAAGCCTTACCCTTGTAAAGATCACACAGAGTAAGGGTGGGTGGACTAGGGGACAAGAAACAGACTTTTTTTTTTTCCCATCAGATAGTGCTTAAGTGCTACTGAGAAAATAAATCAGGGGAGGGGGGAGGGGCTTAATGCAATACACTTAAGGTAATCAAGGGTGGAACTGAGAAGCACTGGACTCAACTCAAAATCAGAGGGCTGTGAGGGAATGACTGGGGCTATTTTATCTGAGGAAAAGAACAAGGGGTGAAAAATCACAGGCCAGAGTCCGGCCGGCTGCTCAGGGGCTCGCGCATTGATAGGAGAGAGGCTCCACCTCTCAGCACTCAGGCACCGCTTCAGCGCAGATCTCTCTAATGATTAACAGAACTGAAAACCAACCAGCGCTTAAGTTCCCGGGCACTTGAGGCGGCTGCTGCACGGGCCTGTGCTGGAGGCTTCACTCTGGAGTTTCAACAACCCAACCCCGGCAGAGAGACCCACCCCCAGAGCCGGACACAGCACGTGGGTCAACCATACATCTCCCCTGACTTTGGCAGGCAAGACCACCTGGCCCTTATAACAGAAAACAGCCACGTTTAGCAGGCCCAGGGGCCTCGTGGGTGTCCCCCAAACACTCCCAAAATTATCTTCAGGGGACTGGAGAGATAATGCAGTGGGTAAGGTGCTTGCCTTGCACACAGCTGACCTGGATTCAATCCCCAGCATCCCATATGGTCCCCAGAGCCCAGTAGGAGTGATTCCTGAGTGCCGGCCCAGAAGTAAACCCTGAGCATGCCTGGGTGTAGCAAAAAAATATATATGTGTGTGTGTATATCTATATTTCCTGTTTTCCAGCTCACTTCAGCTCCCCCAGGTCCGTCTAACCCAGGCATTGAATCTAGGTGGTTTCAGTCAAGCAGCTGTAGGGGAGCTTTTCCTGTTTTGATGGTTGTGTGGTCCATGAAATGCCAGGAAATGAAGAGTATAAATATATATACACACACAGACACACACATATTATAATATACATATACATACATATATAAACATATATAGATATAGATATACCCTGACAGGGCTGGAAGCACACTCAGTGGAACCGAGCGCATATATACATATGTGTGTGTGTGTGTTTCCATAGGAGCCCAGAGAGATAGTAGGTTAAGGTGTTTGCCATGCACACAATGTACTACCAATGTAGCACTATCAACCTGAGCACTATCAATGTAAGGTAAAGGTAAAGGTAAAGGCCCTCCCGTTGATCGTCGATTTGCTCGAGCGGGCCCAGTAACGTCTCCATTGGAGACTTTGTTGTTACTGTGTTTGGCATATCGAATACTCTCGGTAGCTTGCCGGACTCTCCGAGAGGGGCGGAGGAATCGAACTCGGGTCGGCCATGTTGGCCGCTTGTAAGGCGAACGCCCTACCGCTGTGCTATCGCTCAATGTAGTCTCCAAAAAAAAAAATTCATAATACTAAGATTTTTCTCATTCATTCTCATTCTCTACCAATATACAAATAAAGTTGTTCAAAGACTACCGAGTTGTGATAAACATCATCATCCTGACTGTTAAGTGGCACATGTCCATTCCTGTGCCTTACTAACACTTCCACTGATCTTCATATTTAAAAAGTCTCTTGAAAGCCTCAATACTTCAGTAGCCCGTAAGAAGGGTCCTGAAACCAAAAGGCTCAGAGGAACGGATAAAGACCCATAGAAACAAATTCCAGGAGATGAGATTAACAGACCCCTTGTCAAGATTCTCTCCTCTTAATAGAATTACAAGTTGGTAATAATAAACTTTTGCAAAAGCAACACACATGCGGCTTTCGTGAAGCAAAGGTGAACTTCACCTGTGGTATAACAAGCACGTAGCGCCCACCCATCCCTACAGTTTGAAACTTAAACTCTCCCTGCAGTGATTTCCCTTTCCTACTGCACCAGGGAGCCTGTGTGCATCTACAGCCCGGTGCCTCGCCGAACCGAGAGGGCTTCCAGCCCCGTCCCGTGCGCAGGGAAAGACACAACTCAGGAAGGGTCGCCCTTTCCTTGCTGTGGTTCGGCAGATGAGTGAAATGAGCAGCAGCCACAGGTGGGCGCGGCCGGGGAGTCAGCAGGTGTCACCAAAGATGGGCCGACCTTATCTCAGGCGCCCAGGTGTGCCAGGACTCACAAAACCCCCTCCCCGGCACCAAGGCTGGAGCCCACCGATTGAAAACGCGCACATTTCAGAAGAACTTCCGCCGCCGGAAAATCACAGACGTTTCGGAGCGTCAGGAAATTCGACCCAGCGGCACGTGCGCCCGGAACGTGCAGCCTGGGAGCCGCGCGCCAACCGCCGGGCTCTCTGCGCTCACAGCGCCGGGTGCACCGCGCCGGAGCACGGTGCCGTCTCGGGGGTCTCGGCATGCACCCCGCCAAAGGCAGCGTGAAGTAGGCTGTCAGACGCGGTGTTCCCCACCCCACCCCACCCACCCACTCCCCCGCGAAAGCGCTCCAGCAGCACAAAAGGTCTGAGTGCGCCTGCTTCCCAGCTCGCCCCAGCTCCCCAGCATCCGATCTGGTCCAGTGTAGCAGCTGCGGGGCGCTTCTACCGTCCCCAGGGCTGCGCGGTGCAGGAAACCCCGGGGACTGCAGAGCGGCGTGAAGTTGCTCGAGCAAAGGCACCCACGCCGCGATCGTACTCGATGCGCGCGGATCTGTGCCCGCCAAACTGGCCGCGACACCAGGGGGGGATCCGCCCGAACCCCCTTGGGTTCGCGGGGGACCCGGACCTCAAGCGGCCGGAGAGCGAGATTCGGGGGCGCTCGTGACGCCCGAGCCGGGCGCGGGGTGGTGGTGGTGCTGGGGGGGTAAGGGGAGCTAGTGCAGGCTCCGGCCCGGGCTGGGGTCCGAGCGCGCGCCCCAGCCGCCGGCCTTACTTGGGGCTTGAGCTCGCAGTGGGCGGAAGCCGCGCGCAGGAGGCTCAGGGTCGGCAGCAGGAACCAGCTCCAGGGACGCATCCTCCTGGCGGCGGCGCCGGGGGAGGCGGCGGGCGCCCGCCCTGGGCCGCCGGGTGCGGGGCCGCTCGGCTCCGTCTGCAGTTCGCGCGGCCGCCTGCGGGCGGGGCCGGGACGCGCCGGGCCGCGGCGGCCACGTGGGGCCGGGCCGCGAACCCCCCAGCCCGGCCCAGCCGCCCCGCGGGAGGCCACACGGAGTCGGCGGCCGGCGTCTTCTGCGTCCAGCCCAAGGCTGCCTCCCGCCCTGAAGTCGGCGCCCCCGGCCGCCAAGGGGTGAGGGTCTGTGCCGCACAGAGGCCCGAGAAGCAAACGGAAGGCTGGCGTGGGGGGTTCTGGTTTGTTGGGGGAGGTTTGGTTGGGGCGGGGGGCTTGTTTTTTTCAAGGAAAGTTCACTGAAACAAAGCAAATCATGTGCAAAATTTTGGAAAGGAGGAGCAGCCGGTGTGTGCGTAAACTTCCAAGTCCGGAACCCCCAGATCCGGCGCCCTGTTAAATGCCCGCTTAGAGGGATGGGGGGCGGGGGGGAGAATAATCTGGAGGGTGTTAGCCCCGATCCCAGGGTCACGGCAGAGAGGAAACGAGGACATTCCTGGAATGCGTCTCGTCCGATGCAGGTATTAGATCTGCAAGCTCTCCTCGCTCACTTGCGGTGCCGGAATCCCCGAGGAGCTTTTCGTAGCACTGACCCACGTCTGGGAGAAAGTGTTGTAAAAGCAACCTGCTGTGCCGGTCCCTCCCGGCTCCCACCCAAGGCGGGAGTGCACTTTATCCCCTCTTTTTACAGCCCAGAGTGACGTTTAACGGAGCATTTATAGCAGGAGGTTGTCGTTTTAGAGCTCTGACCGTTTGCACCGTGAAGAAGGTTGCCGAGATTTTAGACTGATGAAAGTTGAGAAAGGGGGATAGATTTGCGTACGAGAGAAAAAGCTTTTTGAGATGCCAGTGAAGAAACCCTGGCTTTTAAAAAGGCTGCTTTTCTCAGTTTTAATGCCAGGAGCGATTGGGTTTACGTTTTGCTTTGTTCGGTTTCCTGGGTTTGGGAGAGTGTTTTGGGGTTTGGTTCCGGATTGGGTCTTGCTTTTTTTTTTTTTAAGGTGGCTGGGTTTTATTTGTTCTAATTTTGAGTGAGGATTTGCTTTCTGGGTTAGACTTTCTCTGGAGTCTTCAAATGACTGTCCCATTTCATTCCCAGCTGAAGTCCTTGGTCCCCTACTACCTTGTCATTTTCAAGGTCCAAACACCGCCACCTACTGGTAAAAGCGTTCTACTGCGGTTGTAAACTGAAAGCTTTGAGAACTCTAATCAACTTCATTCAAATGCATTTCCACCCTCTCACATAAAATGCATTTGAATGCATCAATTCTCAGCCCATCAAATGTAGTTGAAAGCAAAGGGGCAGGGGATTACAAAGCATGGTTGAATTTGTTCGGCTTTCTCTTATTGGTCACCACTTAAGGTTATACATCTTTCCTTCTCCATCAACTGGATTTTAATCCAGTTTTGTTTTGTTTTGGTTTTTTGTTTTGTTTTGTTTTGTTTAATCCAGTTTTGTTTTGTTTTGGTTTTTTGTTTTGTCAGTTTGGGGACTACACCCAGCGATGCTCAGGGATTACTCCTGGCTCTGCACTCAGGGATCACTCCTGGCCCCTCAGGGAACTATATGAGATTCTAGGGATGGAACCCAGATCAACCACATGCAAGGCAAGTTGTACTGTACTATGGCTCCAGCCCTCCAACTGGATTTTCATTGTTTCTTTTTCTAGCTTCTCAAGGTTGAACCTTACTTAGGACCCTGGGCTTCAAATCTTTTTTTCAAGTTTAAAGCACTTCAAAGTTATAAAGACCCCTGTAATCACTGTTTTAGATGTATTGCACAGATTTTCACATTTTATTGTTAGTATCATTCATTTGGGAACACTTTCTAATTTGCCTGGTGATTGTTTTTCTTTCACATTGAATAGTTTAGAAATATGTGGCTTAATATGGGCTGGAGCGATAGCACAGTGGTAAGGCGTGTGCCTTGCACGTGGCCGGCCCGGTCGACCTGGGTTCGATTCCTCTGCCTCTCTTGGAGAGCCCAGCAAGCTATCGAGAGTACCGAGAGTATCTCGTCCACACGGCAAAGAGATGGTAAGCTACCCATGGCAAAGCCTGGTAAGCTACCCATGACCTATTCAATATGCCAAAAACAGTAACAAGTCTCACAATGGAGATGTTACTGGGTCCACTCGAGCAAATTGATGAACAACAGGAGGACAGTGCAGTGGCTTAATTCCTAAAATAAGTATCTTTCCTAAAACCGTAATATTGATTTGGAGGGGGTGGCCACTCCCAGCAGTGCTCAGGTTTACTCCTGGCTCTATGCTCAGGGATCATATAAGATGCCGGGGATCAAAACCAGGTTGACCTGTGCAAGGCAAACATCCTACCCACTGTCCTATTGCTCCAACTTTTCATCTAATCTCACTCAAGTCAGATAACTGTATGAAAACAATTATTTCAAGTTTATTGGAATTTTTTTACAGCCCAAGATATAGTCAGGGGGCCAGAGAGATAGTACAGCGGGTAAGGCATTTGCCTTGCACGTGACCAACCCAGGTTCAATCCCTGGCATCCCATATGGGCCACTTAGCACCATCAGGAGTAATTCCTGAGCACAGAGCCAGGAGTAACCCCTGAGCATCTCCAGGTATGACTCAAAAAGCCAAAAAAAAAAATAAATCCTGAGAATTAAAAGTCTACTACTGGGGCTGGAGAGATAGCACAGCGGGTAGGGCATTTGCCTTGCACACAGCCGACCCAGGTTCGATTCCCAGCATCCCATATGATCCCCTGAGCACTGCCATGAGTGATTCCTGAGTGCAGAGCCAGGAGTAAGCCCTGTGCATCGCCGAGTGTGATCCAGAAAGCAAAAAATAATACTAATAAAATAATAAAATAAAAGTCTACTACTTGGATAACTTTGATTCTAAACACTCGGTGAGCCTCCCTCTCTTAGAGAGCCTTATTATAAGACAGATTTCATCTAGGGGCCAGAGAGAGAGCATAGGGGGTTAAGGACTTTTCCTTGCACATAGCCAACCCGGCATTGGTCCCTGACACTACATATGGTTTCCCAAGCACCACCAGGAGTGATCCCTGGACTCAGAACCAGGACTAAGCCATGAGCACTGCTGACTGTAGCCACACACACACACACACACAAAGAAGAAATTGGGATGGTAACTTTGGAACACATCTTGATGAAGGCCAGGCATTTGCTTCTCTCTTTATCTTTGTTGATGCTCTCAAGAACATTGGCCAAGACATTCATGCACATCATTATAGCAGCACAGATGGAGGGTGGAGAGAGAACTGGGGTGAGCTGTTCTGACCCACTGACACTTTGTGGCACTTTGTCACACAGCAACAGATCACTAGTGTAAGAGGTGGATGGGGAGTTAGCAAGGAATCCCAAGGTGTTCCAGCATGGCCCTGCCCTTTCAGGCTGCGTGCTAGTGTCAGCAGCTGGACACAGGTTGTGTGTGGTAGGAGCATCTATTTTCTGCATTTCCAGGCCACCACATTCCATGCATTTCTGGAAGCAGACTGGGGTCGCGACACTCCCTTGATCACCAGGTCTTAGCACCAGAATTTCTAAATAGGAGAAGGTGGTGATTATTAGCAAACTGCTGAGAGTATCTCGCCCACATGGCAATGCGTGGCAAGCTACCAATGATGTATTCGATATGCCAAAAACAGTAACAACAAGTCTCACAATGGTTACTGGGCCAGCTCAAGCAAATCGATGAACAATGGAAGGACAGTGCTACAGTGCCTTTGTAGAGCAAATGCACCCTTATTTTTTTTTTTAACTTGACTATGGGGGAAAAAAAGAATGCCCTTGGCCCTTGATAGTCAGGAGCTGTCCTTGCTCTATCAGTGAGGCTTCAGTATTGCTATGAGTTGAAATATGCACAACCAGGAACAGTGTTCTCCTGTTTGAAACTTCACCGAGGTCAGCATCATCTGACAGGATCGCTTTGTGACTGTAATAAAGACAAAAATTAAGATATTTCTTTTTTTTTTTTTTTTGTCTTTTTGGGTCACATCCGGCAATGCTCAGGACTTAGTCCTGGCTCTGCACTCAGGAATTTCTCCTGGCGGTGTTCAGGGAACCATATGGGATACAGAGGATTGAACCCCGGTAGATTGTGTGCAAAACAAACACCCTCCCCACTGTGCTATCGCTCCAGCCCCAAACCAAGATCTATCACAACACAGGTAGAATGTGAACACTACCCAAACCCCAGAAAGGACTTGGGACCAGAGACTGCTGATTCTGTGCGCCGGAATACACAGACTTTGTCTGCAGGAGGTTTGGTTTCCTCCTCAGTACTGCATGGTCCCCAGGCATGCTGGGAACGACTCCACCCCCAAGCACAGAGCTGGAAGCAGCCCCTGAGCACCACTGGGTATGGCCCAACAACAACAGAAGGATTAGACATCTCTTTCCTGGCTGATGAGTGACAAGTGACATTGTTCTTTACAATCCCAGCTTTATCCTCCATTCAATTCCCCCACTAAGATGTCTTAAGATACTCTTATGGGATGGGCTGGAGAGAGCCCGGAAGAGAGTGCAGCAGGTCAGGTGCTTGTCCTGCAGGTGACTGGCTGTTGTTCAGTCCCCTGTACCCCACCAAGAGTGAAGCCTGAGCACTGCCTGGTGTGGCCAAAAAGCAATACTAATAAAGATACTTTAATGACTTTTTATGCCCCTCTCCTATATTTTGTATGTTGAAGTCTTAAGCCCATGTCAGGGTGGGCTCTAAACTGATCTGGCAATTGACCTTTTAAGAAGAAATGTGGGGCTGGAGCGATAGCTCAGCAGGTAGGGCATCTACCTTGCACGCGGCCGACCCAGGTTCAGTTCCCAGCATCCCATATGGTCCCCCAAGCACTACCAGAAGTAATTTCTGAATGTATAGGCCAGGAGCAACCCCTGTGCATCATCAAGCGTGACCCAAAAAGCAAAAAAAGGAGGAGAAGAAGAAGAAGAAGAAGAAGAAGAAGAAGAAGA